CGCGCGACGTGCCGGCTCCCTCCCGCCCCGCGCCAGGTCACCATCCTCTTCGCCGACCTCCACGCCTACCTGGACAACATGAAGGCGCCGTGGGAGCTGCTGGAGCTGCGCACCCGCTACTACGAGGCCGTGATCAAGGCCATGCTGGAGAGCATTGGCGTGCCCCTCGACAAGCTCACCTTCGTGCGGGGCACCGACTTCCAGCTCAGCAAGTGCGTCGTGGGGCGCGGCGGGGGGAGGGGAGAGCCCGCTCTCGGGCATCGCCCTGTGCACGAGGCAGGGAGGCGCCCGGCGCCGTCGGGGCGACCTGGGTTGTTGCAACCCCCCGTTTCTCCCCGCCTAGAGAGTACACGCTGGACGTGTACAGGCTCTCGTCCGTCGTCACGCAGCACGACGCCAAGAAGGCGGGGGCGGAGGTGGTGAAGCAAGTGGAGCACCCGTTGCTGAGCGGTCTGCTGTACCCCGGGCTGCAGGTACTGAGGGGGTGGCAGCCGCGCCGGTGGGCGCAGGCTCTTGGCGTGGAAGAGCTGCCAAACGCCTGTGTCGGCTGGGGTGAATCTACGTCCTCGCGTGCTTGTGCTCATGCGTGAGTCTTGAGGCCGGCACAGGGCGGATTTCTTCGTACCGTGGTTCACGCGGGTGTTTGCAGCGTGCCGGCCCCCCCGGAGCTCTCCCGTGTTGGAGAGCTGGGCCCTTTTTTGGGGGGCGGGTTATGTGCTGTTGGCTGTAGTGGCAAGGGGCTGTGATCTGTTCTCCATTCGCTGCAGCCAGTGTCCCCAGCCTGGGGAATGGGGTGGGGGTCTTTGTGTGTGGAGCCTGGAAGTGGCATGGCATTGGGGTGGGGCGGGTCCCTGGGCCCGTGCGTCCTGCAGCTTCACTTGGGATGTGCTGCCCTGCAGGCCCTGGACGAGGAGTACCTGAAAGTGGATGCCCAGTTTGGAGGAGTGGATCAGCGGAAAATCTTCACCTTTGCAGAAAAGGTTAGACCTGGGGGTTGCTGAAACTCCCCCCAGGGTGAGGGGCTGACCAGAGCCCGGCCTGGGACGAGATGGCCAATGCCATCATATGCAGAATCGCTGGAGCTTGCCCCAGCTGCTCTGCCCCATCACACCCTTGCTGCTACCATGCATGCTGCGGCCATTGCATTAGCCACCTGGAGGGACTGTGTTTTCTTTTGCTTCTGGAAGACTTTGGTATGGTTGCAGCCTGCCCCCATGCAGGAGTCCCAGTGCCTCTGCTCCCCTCCCCCTGCAGTACCTGACTACAGCTGTTGCTCTCAGCATCCCTTGCCATGTGCCACCACATGCATGTCAGGAAGGGTCTGGGCTGGCTGGAGACAGAGCCCCCTCCAAGCAGAGGGGCTGTGACTCAGCAAGGTGTTCCTGAGCCCTGCTTCCTGCCTCTGGGGACCTCTTATGGCCGGGTGCTGATGTACAATGTACATGAGGAGGTGGCTGGTTCAAGCTGAGAGACTGAGTGCTGTTTTCCTTCCCTAGTACCTGCCTGCTTTGGGCTACACCAAGCGCATCCATCTGATGAACCCCATGGTTCCTGGCCTGACAGGCAGCAAAATGAGCTCTTCAGAAGAGGTTTGTTCACAAATGATGGTGTCTACATGATGCTCTGCAGGGCAAGGAGTTGGAGTTTAACCGCTGCAGGCACCAACCCTCGGCTACAAAGGCACCTTTCACTTTCCTTGCTGTGGCTAGTAATTGGAGAGAAGAAGTGCCACCTTCAACACATCTTGCCTCTCCTGGGGTGGGGGCAGAGAATGGTGATAAGAATCCCAGGGCAGAAGGCACCACTGCTTTCTGAATTCTTGATTGGGCAGATGTAAAAGGTAGCTCTATGGGGGAGGCAACAACCTGCAACTGTCCACTAGAAACCAGGGCTAGAGTCCAACTCCTCCATGCACTTGGTGCACCTCATATTGGATGGTCCTGCTAGGCTGCACCAGGAGCTTCTGATAGAAACATAGGGCCTCTCCTTCTCTCACTTCCCAGGAGTCAAAGATTGACCTTCTGGACCGGAAGGAGGATGTCAAGAAGAAGCTGAAGAAAGCTTTCTGTGAGCCAGGCAATGTGGAGAACAATGGGGTCCTGTCCTTCATCAAGCATGTCCTCTTCCCCCTCAAGTCAGGTGAGAGCCCAGTGCCCTGGAAGGGGCCTGTTTCCCTTGGTCGCCCAGGAGTCTTGCTACCTCTGCTCCCAGCCTTGGGGAAGGAGGGTTGTGCCTTAGTGGCCAGGGCCTGGGGTACAGGGGCATCCCAATCCCTGCCATGCCACCTTACTGGGTAGTCCGAGGGGGCGGGGCTTGGAAGAGTTTGTCGTCTCTATGCTAGGAGGCCTTCTCCTGCCCTAAATTCATCTGACCCTTTGTATCCTTGTGTCACAGAGTTTGTGATATTGAGAGAGGAAAAATGGGGAGGAAACAAAACCTACACAGTGTATGAAGAACTGGAAAAGGACTTTGCTGAGCAGGTGATGGGATGGGGGCAACTCACACATGGCCACAGGCATGGAGACCCCTTTGAGCTTGTGGTGCTTCAGCAGCAGGCTCCCAACTAGAAGTACAATGTGGGCCTCTGTCTAATGTCTCATGGGCTATCAGTGCAGGCAGGTTTTGGCCCAGTGGGTGGGTTGCTGTCATGTGGCAAGTCCGTAAAGCCCAGGGTGCCCCTGGAATCCCTGGGAACTGGGAATCCCTTAGCTGTCCTGGAAACACAGCTCTGGGCTGGAACATGCTAGCTGTTCCATAACATGCAGCGTTGCTATCACCTGTCTTGAGAGAGCCAGTGTCATTGTCCAGCTTGGGGGCTGCCCAGAGTGGTGGGGTTGACGCCACGTGGTCTTCCGTGACAGCAGCTTCTAGGATTTAAGCTTTATCTTCCCCCACGATGGCAGCCCTAAAGACTGCAACCAGGGCTCTCCTGTGTCAAGACTTGGGAGAAGGACCCTAGGTCGGTCACCCAGCTCCACTTCTCCCAGCTCTCCCCTCATGGCACTGGTACAGCCCCACCTTTCTTAGCATGTGCTCATATTGAGCCTGATGGCTACACATCTGGATGGGCTAGGCCCTAGGAAGCCACTTCTCCCTTACAGGAAAGGCCAGAGCCTGTGTGTGGGAAGTCAGAGCACGCTATCACAGGTTCCTTTCTGCCTCAGGGACTGAGCAACAAAGCTCCCTTCTCCCATGCCCCCGCTGCTGACTCCCTCCCTTGTCCATGAGTCCAGGTCGTGCACCCTGGGGACCTGAAGAGCTCGGTGGAGGTGGCTCTGAACAAGCTGCTGGACCCCATCAGGGAGAAATTCAACAACCCAGAGATGAGGAAGCTGACCAGTGCCGCCTATCCTGATGCAGCCAAAGCCAGTAAGCAGGCACCTGCGCTGCGGGGGTGGGAGGTGGAGTGGTCTTGCTGCAGGGACACAGTCTCCTAGGCTGAGGCTATGGCAAAATTTTGATGAGCCATGCCCAGGGTGAGGCCTGGAGCCCTGTCCCACGGTCTCGCTGCCTCTCGCAGCTCTTCTTCCTGCTTCTCAGCCAGCATCTGCCATACTCGCCTCAGCTTGTGCTCTGAGGGCTGGTGAAAAGCCAGCTCGGGGGCTGTTTGCTTCCCCCCAGACACTACAGGGCTCAATGCAAATCTGTTTTCATGTGCTCTGCACCCTGCGTGGCTGCAGAGGGGAGGATGAACCTGTGCAGATCAAGGGCTCCTAGTGACTCCAAGGATTGAACCTTGAACTGGCCTGAGACAGGGCCACCTCGAGCCCTCCTGGCTTGATGCAACACACTGCTCCTTTGGGCATGAGCTGCCTTCACACCCTCTCCTTTTCACATGCTTGCAGAGGCTGCAGAGAAAGGCCCCAAGAACTCGGGTCCCAAAAATTCAGACCCTGAGGACGTAATTCCCTCCCGGCTGGACATCCGTGTGGGCAGAGTGATCAGCGTGGAAAAGGTACTGGAGCTTTGGAAGGCTGGTCCAACCTGGTGAGCAGGGGGTGGTGAGGAAAGGGACTGTCGGGGATAGGGATGCCTGCTACTTTGGTGTGCTGGGGCTTTTGTGAGGGATCATGCTGCTGGCTGTTCTGGCAAGGGGCTGTTGGCTGTGGTGGCACGGTGACCTTTTCTACATTCACCATTGTGTACAAATTGGAAACCATTGTCCAGGGCCAGTTTCCCCCAGGGCAGTGCCTCAGGCCACTGCCAGCTGCCGTCTCCTTGTTGATGTGAGGAGCAGCAGGGCCAATCTCTAATGCTACCACTCGGGACAGACCAGGGATCACCCTAGCTCCCCTCAGCCCAGTCCCCTGGAGGGGAGGGTGCCCTGCCTCCAGCCTGGGAACAAGTTGGCATTTGCTTTGGCAGCACCCAGATGCCGACAGCCTGTACCTGGAGCAGATTGATGTGGGCGAGCCCACGCCCCGCACTGTGGTCAGCGGCTTGGTGCAGTTCGTGCCTGAGGAGCAGCTGCAAGACAGGCTGGTGCTGTTGCTGTGCAACCTGAAGCCCCAGAAGATGAGGGGGGTTGAGTCCCAGGGGATGCTGCTGTGTGCGTCCAGGTGAGAGAAGGGGGCAGGATGTGGAGGAAGAGAATCCCATGCCCCCATCCCAGAGTCCTGATTTATTTTCTACATGGGATGAGCGAGGAAAGGCCTTGTGGTTTGGGTGACTCCAGCCCAATCCCTAATGTGCTGAACTGGGCTGGAGATGGTGACCCCATGCCCCCGCACTGCCAGGCTTCCTGGTCACCCAAGAATGTTTGTGCCTGTCCCTGGGCCCCTGATCCCTTTGAGGGGCATAGAGGAAAGGCCTCCTATGTGCCATCCTCACTGCTCACCCCTACTCTCTGCCCCCTGTAGTGTTGGGGAGCCCCGGCAGGTGGAGCCCCTGGACCCACCAGTGGGCTGCTGTCCAGGTGAGCGGGTCTTCGTGGAGGGGTATGAACATGGGCAGCCTGACGACGAGCTCAAGCCCAAGAAAAAAGTCTTTGAGAAGCTACAGGTAAGGGAGGGAACATCCAGCTGGAGGCCCCCCTGCTCTGCAGCCAAGCCCTCTCCCCACCAGGCAGCCAGTTTCTGGCAGGGCCTAGCTGCTGCTCCATGACAACTGGTCATCACCTAGGGTGACGTTGGGGGTCTGTCTTAGTGTAGCTACTGTCCTCTAGGTTCTCCTTGTGGCAAAGGCACAGCATTAATGGTGCTACCACCCTTTTGTGTCACTGCTGGCCCCACCAGCGAGGGGTAATGGAGCCCTTTATCCCCCATCCCCTAGGATTGGACTGGGCTCATCAGCAGCGGTGAAGGAAGTAGGTGCTGTGGCTCTGACCAGGCAGCACAGGCTGCCTCACGAACCCTGCACCCACCCCTTATCCTACTCCTATTCTCCCCAGGCTGACTTCCGGATCTCTGAAGACTGCATTGCTCAGTGGAAGCAGAAAAACCTCATGACCAAGCAGGGCAGCATCTCGTGTAAAACGCTGAAGGGTGGGAACATCAGTTAACCAGCGCCGGGCGTCTGGTCCCTATGCCTGTTCACATCCCCACCGCCATCCCTCACCCCCTTCTGGATTCTCTTCCCCAGCCTCTGCTGCAGTCTAGCCAAGATGCACGTGCTGCGTAGCAGCCGAACAGCTCCTGGACTCCAGCCCTGCTGTGCCAGGGGGCCAGGACTGAGTTTGCAGCCCCTGGTAGGGGGTACCCATTCTGCACTTGGCCTAGTGGAGACCCTGCCTCATGCCCCTTGGAGCTGTTATCTTCACAAGGAGTACGCAGTATGACTCACTGTGCCCCTGGTAGGATGGGCGGGAGGGTGGGGGCTGGTATGCACGGCCATTTCCCTGAAGTGCTGCTGTGGCTGTCATCACCCTGTTCTGGAAAGGCCCTGGCTGAAAACGGTCATTGTGCTTCCCTGGGCTTCCAGCTGGGCAGGGCTGTTAGCTCAGCCTGCCTGTCTCATCTTGGGAAAGCTCTGGGACTTGGCCACATACAGGCCTGAACGTGGGTTCAAAAAGGAAGTTCATGTGCTCACACTGGTGTAGCTTCTACCAGAGGGTGGAGACTTGGCAGCCTGTGAAGCCGCCATTCACCAGGCTGACACATGCACGTGCCCCCTGCTCTGTGCCTGGCACTGCTGGCTCAGGTGCATACTCTGAGGTCTCTGGCAGAGCAGCCATGAGCAGTTCAGCTGCTCCTGGGGTGGTATCACAGCTCCGCCTGCTCAGCGGTGAGGGATGCATCCCCTCCAGCCTTGGACCTAAAATCATGTTACTGTCATACCCTGAAATAAAGCATGGAACTGACCATGGCGTTGATCTCACTGGGGAGGGCAGCGTGCTGGAGGCCAGCTCTAGGAGCGGGCAGGCAGGTCTGGGGCTCTTGGCCTCAGCCTCAAGAGCCCTTGGAGTGCAGGGGGAGGGGTGTGGGGATTGCTTTCTTAGGTCAGCCTTGTCTTTTCCCCTGCTGAGACTTGGTGCCCTGAGAGCACAGGAAAGGCAGGAGAAGCTGACAGTGGTGTACCCCACCTGACAGAAATTGAGCTGAGCCCCCCAAGCTCCCACTGAAGGCAGGGCCAAGACCACTGGGCTGCTGAGGCTGAGGGGAGCCCTCACCCATCCCCTAGGAGGGACCTTTGCTTGGGGAGGGGCCAGAGCTGCAGGCTCCTGCATTAGAGGCCCAGGCAGCTTTGCCAGGTCTGAGCCCTCGGGATGAGGGAAGATGTGAGGTGCACTCTGCCACCAGCACTGCTCCCCAGGGGGAACTGGGGCTGTCGGCTCAGCCTCAGCTGCATGCAGCTACTCCCAGTCCATTGGGACATGGTGCTACAGTGGCAGCACGGGACTCCTGCGTCACCCTCTTGCACTTTAGTCTGGCTGCTTCCCCTCATGGGGTAACAGCTCCACTACAGTGCTCTTGAGGTGACTGCCGAGGAGGGAAAGCCCAGGTGTTACCCACAAAGCACAGGAGGCCACAAGCTTCAATCATCACCTTTACCAGAGGCGTACAGAGCTCTTGCCCACCACGCGGCAGCGTCTCAAGGCAGATGGTTTGGGTTTCCTGGTTTGTACAACTGAGGATATGGAGGTCAGGGGTGGGGAGCCCCGAGAGCACAGAAATAAAAATCCCAGTCTCTGCCCCTCTGAGAGCAGGGAGCAGACATAAAAAAAATCACAGGCTTTGGGTCTCGCCTGGTGCTGAGCCAGCTAGGCTCCTGCCACCCAGAGCCTCAACACTGTCTGCTCCTGGCTGGCCTGGCCCAGTGCCCAGGTGCCTCTGAGCGAAGGAGACACGCAGCTCAGGGCAGGCAAAGAGGTCAGGCCTCTAAGGCTCTGGAGCTGCCCCCACTGGCCCTTGCATGCACAGGCTGCAGGGGTCAATGCAGCAGCTGGCAGCGTTTGCTTCCAGGCTCAGCCCGGAGATGGGGACCGATGCTGTTCCTGAGGGGCTGCCTGCTCCCTTCTCAGAGAGGCAGGGGTGCTGCCCAGCTGGTCATGCTACCAACCTGGGGCACTGCTGGGCCTTTGATGGTGAAGCCTGTCAGGGCCTCAGCTTCGTGTGACTCAAAGTGGCCAATGCACCAGGGCTTGTCCTGAAACCCTCTCCTCCCCACACCAGCCAGACAAGCCTCTTCCCCAGAGCTGGACTGTCCCCTCTACAGACCTGAATCCCTCCTGCTCCCTTGCCCTGCCAGGGTGGGCCCTGGGGTGACAAAGGCAGGGCCTGCTGCTGCTTACACACGCACACTGGCACACGCACACGCACACAGTCCCTACTCCGAGTACAGCTAGTGCTCAGACAAAGCCTGCCTAAGCCTGGCTGGACCTGCCAGTTCTCTGAAGAGAGCTGGGCTCCTGCATCCGCTCTGAGGTCCCCAGCTGTGCCCGGGCCCGGTTTTCCCTCTCTGCTTGCTTAGGCCCACTCAGGGCAGGCAGCCTCCCTGGGCCTGCCTCTGGCTGCTCTAGCTGTGAGCTTGCTTTCCTTTCCCTGGGGTCTGCTGGCAATGGTCCCCTCCCAAGCTAGTCTCAGTGGCACTTAGTCAGTGGTGGAGCCTGCCATGTAAACAGGAGCACGTGTGGGCAACAAACCTGGCAGAGGTGCTTGTCCAGCCCCAGTGCCTGTCGCCTTCCAGATCCTCCTCCAAAGTGCTTTGATTCGATGCGGTCCCGGGTGCAGGAGGATGGGGCTGCTTCTCCACAATGTGTGAGAGTGAACCCCGAGCTAGGCTGCCGTCTCCTGACCACGCCACCCCGACCGGGGTCCTCATGCCAGCTGCTCTGGTCAGTCTCTGCCAGCGAGTGGTGCCAGGCTCTTGCTGGCGAACCCACTGCACGGGAGTGGCGAGCCCAGGGCGGGACTTAGTCCATACAAAAATGCAAAATAAAGCTGTGTTATTTAAGAAAGTAAAACCAACACCAGTTTTGCATAAGTATCGTCAAGGCCATCGGAGGCTAAGGCTGTTTGCTGCTTTTTATTGAGTCCGTCGCCAGCTCCACACACATCCTTTGACCTGTCCAGGTCCCTGAGAGAGATTTGCGCTCCTGTCTGTTGGGGCACCAGGGCTGCAGCGTCGTCCTTCATGCGGTCTCCTCCCTTCTGTCTGTGGGGAAAGGAAGAGGTTCCTGTTGGAGACTTGGCCATGCTCGGCAGGGGGAGATGGACAGGGGCTCTGAAAGTCTGTCCTTTGCCTCTGGGTAGTGAACCTATCGCTGAAGCCTCCAAGCTCATCTGCCCCTCGTGCTGTCGGTTGTGCACAGCATGTTTCCTGTGCCCAATTCAGCTGATGCAGCCTAGTTAAGACAACTATGCCAGACTGAATCCACCTGATCCTGGAGGCTCAGCAGGTCTAAACTAGCCACTGCTTGGATGGGAGACTACCTTGGACTGCCTGAGATCCAAGCCATGGAGCAGTGGGCAAACCCCTGGGGAGGAGCAGACCCCAGAAACCAAATGAGGCTGTTGCCCAGTTGGCAGACAGGAACTGAATGAAGAACAGCCCTAGCCTGGGAAGCTTTAGCTCAAACCACAGCAGGCTGTGATTTTCGCTCAGGGGGTCCTTTGTGTGTGGGTCAAGGTGGCAGCTCACCCTGACGCTGCTGCCTGCTGCAGCTGAAGAGCCCCTGAGCCAATGCAGACGGGGCTTGTGCCCATCCGCCAGCTGCAGGGTGCCCCCACCCCCAACGCCTGCTCTGAGCAGCTCTGAAGTGGGCTGGCTGTTGGTTAGCCTCCCATTCCTTATGCTGTCCCCGTGGGCACATGGACAGGGGCTATCAGGCAGCCCAGGAGCAAGACACGAAATGACTTCCCTGTGGCCCACAGGCAGATTTCCAGGGCATCAGCCAGCCTGCTTCCCTCCCCTTCAGGCAGGGCTAGAAGCTCCAACAGATTTGGAGGGGGAGACTGGGCTGCCTCCGCTGGGCCTGGGTGCTGGCTCTCTGGCAGCTGAAAGGGAGGCCTTGGGGCTGTGGGACAGGCATGCACCCTTCCCACCTGCCTGGGGCTGGGCTATCTCAAGGCAGGGCCTGTCTCTGGAGCTGCCCCTAGGCTGGGCCGGCGTAGTCCTGAATGCTGGGCTGCCCCCGACGACTCCTCGCCTTAGTCCACAAAATGTCTGGGGACTGAAATGGGACTTCGGCTAAACGGAGGCAGCAAGGCCCAAGCTGCTGCTGGGAAACCTCCACCCAGCTCCCAGCCCTGGGGGCTCCGAGTTCCTCCAACACTGCATGTTGCAGCCCCGACCCTGGGCAAGTGAAGGAGCACCTCAGTTCTGACACGGCTGAGTCTACAACCAACCCCAATGCTAAAGAAGAACAGAAGAACTGCCGTTTGCTGGGCTGGACCATACGTCCATCTTGCCCAGTCTGCTGTGCCACATCATGGCAGGGAGCGGACACTGAAAGGGAGAGTGAACTGGCTACGACCAAGGTCTTTCCCACTGTTCCTCTCTCGCTGGCAGCCTCCAGCGTTTAAGGTCTAGGACATTCTGGTTCAGAGGCTGTCTCTCGAACTCCCATGCTCAATAGTGAGTGACGCTCCTTTCCTCCAAACATGTGTCCAGTCCCTTTGTTAGACTCTCAGCTTCCACCGCCTCTAATACCCGTGGAGCTCCACACTTTAATTACATGCTGTGAATTTCTTTTGCTTGTTTTAAACTTACGACCTACTAGTTTCATTTTAGGACCCCTAGTTCTGCCACCTGACCTGGCCCAGGGACTGAAGGGAAGGAACTGGCTGGAAGCTGAGATGGTCTTTGGGGCTGAGACATGCACAAACCCCTCCAGGCCCTTGTCCTGGGATGGCCGGGATCCCCTGCAGTGGGACCCAGACATGGGCAGAAGGCACTTGCCAGTGAGAGCTGCTCAATACATGGGGGCAGGACACAGTGCTGCATGCTGGGGACAGGGCCCTGTGGGAGCTGGGAGTCAGGCGGGGGTGCACCAGCGGAGCCATGGGTCTGCTTTCTGCCCACCTACCCCAGACCCTTCCCGCCCTCAGTACCTTGTGCTGGGGGATTCTGCGATGGCGTCTCTGGGCCAGCCAGGTGCCCGGCTCTGCTGCTCTCCGCTGGGAGAGCCGTGTTCCCCGACCACTCACTCTTAGTCCTGTTTTCTTCCGCCGACAAAGCTGTGGCTTTACTGTCTGGCAGGGGTGAGCTTAGCGCCTCCACTCCCTGCGGCTTTGGACTCACAGGCGACTTGGGCTGCGCTGTGCCCAGGGAAGGCTTCCTGGCAACTGGAGGTGGGATCTTGCTGGGCTTCCTCTGTGCTTGTGTCTTGCCAGAGGCTGCCTGGCATGGCTGGGTCAGTGCCGGGGCTGAGGAGCGCTGTCCAGAGAGATTCATCAGCTCAGCGACCAAGTTCCTCTTGAGGTCAGCCTGTGCATCCGGGCTGGAGGGGGTCTCGATGACCAGCTTCTTGGAGCTCTTGGCAAAGATGAAGCTGGCCGTGGAGGCAGGCGACTTGTGGAGGGGGGATACCTGGCCATCCTTGACATCCCCTGCAAGGGCCTCTGGACCAGCAGCCATGGGGCCCGGGAGAGTCAGCTTATTACCACGGGCTGGTTGGGAGGATGCAGGTCCCGGCGCCTCCCTGGAAGACAAGGTGGAAGCCTTGAGGCGTACGGCATTGTGGAGCTGGTTCAAAGGCACGGTGTCTTTGGAAGGAGCAGGCTGCCGCATGGATAGGGCCCTGCGGATGGGCTTCTGGGGCACAGGCTGGGCCTGCCTCACCTCGCCATTGGCACCCAACCCAGCCTGGCTAGGGGGCTGCTTGCTGGGGTCTGTGGCAGCGTGGGCATCCACATTGACC